GCTAAATATTTAGCTCAAAACTAAAAGTTTAATTTGTTAAATATTTGACATATGGTGAAAAACTGACTTAAATCTATATTGTCAAGAAAAAAAAATTACATTTCATTTTCTACTGAAGTGACAAAAAAAAAATCTGTGTTCTTTTTCTGCTACACAAAAATATTTGGTAATTTTTGACTAACAGCACCCCATAGTGGTGATCCATTTTAGTCACGAGTTATTGAAACTAGCCACCTCAGGCATTTAAAAAAAAAAAAAAAAATGAATAGTTTTGCAAGTTGAGCTTGGCCAGTTGTGTAAACTCAGATTTACATTGTAAGACCTGATGCAGAACTGAACTTTTAACACCATAAACAGAAACAGGTCACACTGCAGCAGGAGAGAGTTGAAGTGAGTCCAGAAGGAGCAAACAGCCTACAGGTGTGGGTACAGTGTGGTCCAATTTAGGATGTTTTATTTCCCCAAATCAGTAAAGCTGAAAAACTCAGAAAAAGTTGCCTCAATGGACCAATTACAATAACTGGTTTAAGTGCAACCAGATGCTTTGTCCTTTAAGTCAGAAGACACATTTAGACACTTTAAAATCAGCAGCAAATCATTAAGGAACTGACACTAACCCAGGAGGAGATTGACCATTTTATTTTCCAAGTAAACAGCAGATTGTCAGTAAACTGATGCTCAGTGCACATAGTGGCACTCCACTCCGATGACTGTTCTCTGGCTTCTTGTAATGGGACTGGTGCCGAGCGTCATGGGGTCGTAGATCAGCTTAAAAGCATAAACAAAGCCAGCCTCGTTTACCTGACGACAAGAAAATAAAGTCAGACACACAGTCAGCATAAACTATGGGGAGCCGTTTGTAAAAGTTACTCAAATTATACCAATTTGTTTTAGCCTTTAAGAACAGATTTTTTCTAAGTTAGTTTTATGATTCACATTTATAAATGTCATTTTATAAAATACTTAACTTACGAATTAAATATTTATTAAATTAAATATTTAACTGGTGACTTAAGTAGCAAGCAAAATATTTAGATCATAACTAAATAAGTATTTAGCCTGTTAACTAAATACTTAATTTGGAAGTTAAATATTCAGTTTATAAATCAGGTGAAAATTAAACCCATTTTCCTTCTAAAAGGCTAAATAATATAAATTTATTGGTAATTTTTGACTGTAACTTTACCAGCACCCCATAATAAACCCAGTTGAATAAAGAAAACCCAGACATACCGTCAGTGTGCTGCCACAGTCATGGAGCTCAGACTCAAAGACCAGGACATGAGAGTGGTGGTCCACCTCAGCAGGTGGACAGCCTCCAAGCGTGACTTCATCTGGACTCACCAGCTTGCCAATGCCCAGCAGGTCCTGACTGACCTCCACCTGCACCCTGCTCTCCCCACACTTCACAGCCACCCTGTTGGACACGGTGGGCTGCACAACCTTCAGCTGGACAGGGGGCCTGGTCACCGGCTCCACTGGATCTTCTGGAAAGTTCCATTTGAGTTTGTCATCTGCAGACTGGGGCCACTTGGAGTGAAACCTGCCAGCCGGCTCAGCAAACAGACCGAAGCGCTCCCTCTGAAGTCCATCTGCCAACTTGAAGTCTTTGTCCGACTTGGCCGTTTGTTTGCCAGCTGCCCAGTAACCTGGAGGCCTCACACCACGGAGAGCCTCACTCAGCACAACACCTGCCAGAACAAAGCTGAGCACAAACACCTGCCTGGACTCCATGGTTGAATGCAGACATGTGGCTCCACGGCTTTTTAAACACTGACAGAGCGACTCCTCCCTCTGCCTCGTTAACTCCCTCATTCTGCACACCTGTGGAGGTCACAGCTGCTCCTCACCTGCTGATTGAACCGTCCATTCTGTGCAGCAAACACCTTCATGTAACCAATTAATGTGTCAAACAGGACGTCATGCACATGATACAGGTCAATGGGAGTGAATAGATGAAACTGTACAACATGTTCTGTTAAACTGTCAGAAATATAGAAATGAAAGAGCTCAATTGATTAATAGGCTTGCTGAAATGAAAATGACATTAAATTAAACTGAAATCTTACAGTAAAACTCAGTATCTGATAGTCCTCAAGCCTTGATAAATTATCTGAGATTGGCTCGATTATTTGAAAGGATATGTATGTGGTGCCATTTGTAAAGTTACACAGTCAAAAATTACCACCAATATTTTTGTTTTATTTAACCTTTTATAAGAAAAAAAGAACAGATTTATTTTTCAAAGTCAGTTTTTCACCATATGATTTATAAAGGTCATAGTTTATAAACAAAATATTAAAC